AAACCCCAAAACCCCAAAACCCCAAAACCCCAAAACCCCAAAACCCCATTGGGAGGATATGATATTTAATAGAGTTAAGCAAAATAAGTAATATTATTTTAATAATGAATTAAGACTCCTCGAATCTATACAATAATATTCACTTTCATTACATTAGTCCTGATGAGGATAACGACAGAGTATATGTAGGAGGTGCCTGCACCAACACCTACAATTACTAGTCTAATATCTTTGACAGTTTGGAAAGGGATAATTATGCTTTTGATTTAGAGGGACAGCCTCCTTATTATGAGGAGCGCGCATTTTCTCCCTCTCGAGGGGAATTTATACTTTCTCAGTTCTAAAATAACATCCATTCGATCTTTCCCTAGAGCTCTGGCTTCTCCAAGAGAGATTTAGTAAGAGCTTAAGGTAGAGTGGATCAAGTGGATTCATACTTAAGAACTGATCTGTCTGAGTGTATTAGGACCTACTCCTAAGTAACTCACGGCAGTGGAAAATTCAATTTAGATTCACCTAGATCGTCTATTTCTAGGAATTCTAATAACTAATCCTTCAAGAATTTTGAAAATAGCTTGCCTGATAAAAAGTTATTAAAGCAAATTTTCAAAATTCAAAAAGGTAACCGCAAGACCTTGACGAAGCGTCTGCGAAAAGATTACTTCTAAGACGATTAAAGCTCAGTTGATCGTTAGACTTGCAATAACGGCTCAATTTTGTCTAAGACTTTAAGCCTCTAATTGTCTACTATGGCTTACACTCACTAAGACCAAGAAAGTACTCTAAATCTAATCAATCAAGTCAATTTTAAAGCTGACAACACAAGGAAATCTCAACAAGATGAGGATTCAAAGAAACCTTGGATTTCATCGACTCCATCAATCTCGAACGATGTTCGACAAAAAATGGAGAGTGTAGGATTCAAAAGTACTTTTGAAAAAGTACTGACGTCTCTCTAACGCGAAGAAATTAGACATTTGAAGTCTAATGCTTTCAGACAAAGACGCCGGGAACTGAAGAGAGAGTTATCTGAAAGATAGTAAGTTAAAAACAAAAATAGGCAGGAAGCTGCTAAGAAAAGAGTTAGAGACAACAATGGAAAGTTCTAGGGTGGTCTTTTGCTTTGAAAGGCACAACAAATTTTCAAAGTAGAGAGACCTGAGAACTTAGTGAATTAAAATACATAAAATGACTGTTACTTTAGAACTACTCACAACCTGATTCCTTAATCGGCGACTGGCTGCCCGCTCAACCCAACTTTCACTAATAGAACGTATTCACCCTCTTCAAAGGATGATTAGTCTAAAAGCTTAAGGTCTCCATCAATTCCTTTGTTACGAAGAGTTAACTCAGGTCAAAGATTGAGCCCTATAGTTTAAGACGATCAGAATTTAAAGAGGCTTCTTAGGTCTAAAAAAGTTAGAAAGAACTCCCAGGAGGTTGAGCATGTGCCAGAGCACATGGAATATACTTTTACCGGAGAGGATTGAATTTATTAATATCTTAATTTATAAACAACATTCTTCTCTCCTCACCATTATTTTAGCCTCATGGGGTTTTGGGGTTTTGGGGTTTTAATTCTGCTTATCATCAAT